CATGTTGCCCAAGGCTCTGTTCAGCAACGTGACTGGTAAACTTAATAAGCAGAGATTAAAATCAAGTAGTTTAGTTTATTTTGAGGCTATCCAGTTTTATCACAAAAACAGGCAATAAGTGGGCTATACCATCTGTAGGCTTGATCATAGGCTGGGAAACCTCTTACCATTTCAGATCAGTTCAGGCTAATTACTGAAAGAGCTTGACATTTCAGAAACCCTGAAGTGAGATGGTGGACACAGTGTAGCTGCTGGAGATGTGAGTTCATATCACAAAAGCAGACCACACCACATTTAGCAAGTGGGTCTATGCAGCAAATCGCATCTTTTCTCAGAGCAGCAGATGTTGTCATTCTGTTGGGGAAGCTGACATGTATTCATCAGTGGCAACAAGAACTTTGTTCTCCAGGGATTCCAGTCAGGCACCTTTCATTATTGCAGAGTCTTTAAAAATGCTCTTCCCCATCTGGCTGCCTGTTTGTAAAATGATTGTAAAATGACTTTTTTGGTTTTGGAGTTTTGTTTTTTTGTAGTTGACATCTCTTATTACACTTCAGTTTTCTTAGTGAATTTGGTGCTCATGAAACATGACACATGTAATGGTTGGTTAAAGCTAGGCACAATAGAAAAAAAAATATGGTGAACATACTTCAGAGATAATTTTTCTAACATATTTCCATTCTGCCCTACCATTTTTTTTCTATATTCAGTGACATATGATGGTTCACTGTAATGTACATTGCAATGTAATGATGTGTTGTAATTACACCATTAGGAAAACATGTTTTTATTTTGGATAGAAAAGTTTAAGGAATGCTTTGTGAAACATAATAATCAATATGAAGGATTCCAGTCCATTAGGGCCCTGAGAACAAAAGCTGAGTCTTCCATCCTCTAAAGGTGTCAGAGACTATGTAGTGTCAGACAATGATGAACAAATACCTACTCACATCAGCTCATAACACAGTCATATTTTCCTGTTTCAAGCCCAGGTGATTCATATGGTCACAATCGACCAAGGTGTAATGACAGTGATCTCCCTATTTATCCAAACTGCAGTGTTCAAGTGGAAATTTAAGATCAGCTAAGTTGTGCTGAACATACAATAATGAATGTACAAAAAATTGTTTCTGTAGCATTAATTTTTGCTCTTAAGACCAGATATTACCATACCAAAGCTTGACACTTCTAATGGGTATTGCCCTAAAGCAGTAGAAAAATGACCAACATGTTACAAGTTCTTGACTTGCTGCTCTCACAAAGGAGCAACTGGGCCCAACCTGCAGTAGACATTTCAGAAGATCTAAGAAGACTTAGGCTTGCTATAAGAAAAAAAAGTCAATTTTGAGATTTTTTTTTTATTGGTCAGCATCCAAAGAGTTAACATACGGTTATCTAGGGCCACATCTAGAAGAAAAAGTGTACACAGTACATGCAATGTGTAGAGGAAATCAAAACAGAATGAAGCAAATAATAAAACTGTATCCAGTCATGTTTATTTGCTTTTCTCGTTTCAAGGTGTTAATCTGGTGTTACTGAAAAGAATATTTCCCAGATGGAGACACAAATGCATCAGTATTTCTTGCCTCTACACACTATATTTCCATTTGTTCTCCTTTGAGAAGCTCTTTTTGAACAGTCTTTCCAAGTGCCAGGATGTGGTGGTTTTCAGTTTATTGTAGTGCTTAGTAGTTCAGCACCAGCCATCAGAATTTTCAGTAGTCTCTTCTGTTTGTTGAGGACTCTGTTCAAAGTCCAGGCCTCTTTTCCCTTCCCTTCCCTTCCCTTCCCTTCCCTTCCCTTCCCTTCCCTTCCCTTCCCTTCCCTTCCCTTCCCTTCCCTTCCCTTCCCTTCCCTTCCCTTCCCTTCCCTTCCCTTCCCTTCCTCCCTTCCCTCCCTACATTCCCTCCCTTCCCTCCCCCTTCCCAGCCTTTCCTCCCCTTCCCTCCTTTCCCTTCTTTCCCTTCCTTCCCTTCTTTCCCTTCCTTCCCTTGAATTGCCCACTGCTGCATACACAGACACCCATTCCTACTGGGGGAAGAAAATTCCAGTACCTGCCAGCACTAAAATTCTAACTGGGACATCAACAACACAGCAGTAACAATATGTTGTTGGAATAATTCCTTGGGTCCTGTACCTCTCAGCTGAACTGAAAGCAGACAAGAGCTTGCTCAGCCACTCTTTTGTAATGACTCCTCTGTGAAAGGCTACAGGATGAGGCTGAGCTAACAAGGATGACTTAGAAGTCTAAAGTGTCTGTGCTTGATAAATAACTTGCTTATACTCATATCTTCCTGCAATATCCTGTTTACAGCCACTCAGATACCTGCCGACTTTTTTTGCTAAAAGACTACAGGTTAAGAGGAAACACTACACTTGCATTCTTATCAGACCTCACTCTGATTCTTTCCTTCAGGAACCAGAGTTCTGAATTAGGCAATGTCGTGGTTTAAACCCAGCTAGCAATTCAGCATGCAGGTGCTCACTCACTCCCTCCCCTTCCTCCCCCCCCCCCGCCCACTTCACCCCCCCACCCCTGCTCCAGGAGGGATGGGGAGGAGAATCAAAAGAATGTAACTCCCATGGGTTGAGATAAGAGCAGTCCAGTAACTAAGGTATAACACAAACCACTACTGCTGCCACCAATAACAATAATGATAAGGGAAATGACAAGGGAAGAGTATACAACCGCTCACCACCTGCCAACCGATACCCAGCCTGACCCAGCAGTGATCTTGCCCTTCGCGTAACTGCCCCCAGTTTATATAGCGGGTATGACATGCTCTGGTATGGAATATCCCTTTGGCTAGTTTGAGCCAGGTGTCCTCCCGGCTTCCCCTCCCCCCTGGCAGAGCATGAGACTCAGAAAGTCCTTAGAGTAAACATGACTTAGCAGCAACTAAAACCATTGGTGTTATCAGTGCTGTTCCCAGGCCGAAAGTCAAAACCACAGCACTGCACCAGCTACTAAGAAGGAGAAAAATGACTGCTACTGCTGAACTCAGGACAGCCAGCTATTTTACAGGGGTGTGGCTAAAGAATAAAGTATCTGTTACTCCAGTAAGATCCACATGGCAATAGCAGTTCAGCAGAACTAGTGAGCTTTGCTGCTTTTCTTTAGAAGAAATCCCTGAAGTTTGTGGAGAGTGGCCGTCCTTTACCCCAAAAGCTCCTAAATTGGCAGAATTCCTAGATGTAGACCAGATCCATAAGAGGTCTTTTCTTTCCTTGAATGACTTTTGTTTGTTTTGAATGTACCTCCCACTAACTTCAGTTGCTACTCCCTGGTTCTTATGGTGAAGAGAACAATTGATCACTATCCACCTCCTCTGTGTCACTGTGATTTTGCAGATAAGAGAAGGGATTCACCCCTGTCTGGGAGTATTTGCTGGCCATGTGTGGGATTCAGACTACACAAGAAGATATATCTGTCCTGCAGCTATGTTTAGAAATGCTTAGCACAGCATCCAATCTTAGAAACCTGTGTCCTCTTTGCCCAGCCCATGGAGGCTTTGCCATTCCCCTGAGCAGACCTGGTCTACTGCTGGGTGCACATAAGCAAGAGGGAGCTGCCACATTAGTGGGGGTCTGCTGGGCTTTCTGGACGCCAGCAAGAGGGCCTTGTGGATTTCACCAAGGGCAGTGAACAATAACGAAGAGAGGAGGAAGTGCCACCAGAAGCGTATGCCAAGGAGCAGCAGGAAGTCCCAGTTGAACGCCCTTCAACAGGAGTGTCATTCACACGGCTGCAGTGGTGTCTCAAACCTGAGTCCTTGGCAGGGCAGGCCAGACAGCAGGAGCGTTCCCCCTGCTCCCTCCTGTGACCATCCACCACTGCCAGCCATCCCTGCACTTCCTCCAGGCACTTTTACAAATGACACCTGGAGAACACAAGCAAAGGAGAACATCCACACGGCACAGCCATGAATGTGGTCTGATCTCACCTAGGATACCCCAACACCGCTGGCAGGAGAACCCCAACATGCTCTCAGGGTTGATCTACCAGCAGAAGTTGAGAAGTGCAACATAAGGGGTGGGCCTGCGGTCTGGTAAGAAACATGAGGTTTTCTGCCAGCCTTGTATCTTTTGGGGAGGTTTTTCAATTACTATTTTAATTTTTTAAGTAAGGCAGGATGTGCTGTGTCTCTCCTCTTCCAGACCATGCTCTCTAACCAGCACATGGGCAGAGACCCAGCACCCAGGGTGACAGCCCAAACCTGTGTGGCAGGGAGGGTTCACAGCAGTCCTCATTTTTGTTTACGCTGCCTCTGAAGAGAGAGGAGGACGCTGCTGCGAGGAACACGTTTCTTGAGTGCCCCTGAGGGCCAGACCGGAACAAAGCCAGTGTTTGCGTTCCCTGTCTTTCCCCAGGCAATCTGCAGCAGGCCGACGCCCCAGCAGCCCCCTGGGCGCTGGATCTGGGTGGATTTGGAGGGTTTCCATCTGGCCCACGCAGACCGGGGTGGTCTGCCCTCCACGTCCCTCTGCGTCAGGCCTGCCCCCATAAATGAGAGCCAGGGGCTGGGAAGCTGTATGTCTGCTCCTCGTGGGCTGAATTGAGAATGGCCCAATAAACAAAGGGCGGGGGCTTTCCTTGTGAGCTGCGACTGCACTTTGGCTTACTTGAGCCAGCTCCCAGTGAGAAGGGATGAGCAGCTTTCAAGTTATTTTTCTTGCTTTTTTGGTCTCCCAGTAGGGCAGGCAGTCTTTGGAGAGCTATTAAGTGTGGGCCTGCTTTCAGGGCTTTCTCATAGCTAGCAGCCTCCCTCTGTGAAGACAATACAGCTTGGTTGCACTTGACAATGTGATGAGGTTTCTTCACATGACAATAATAAAGTATTTTTGCACTTTATAGCATGTCTCCTCTCTGGACTCCAAACCCTTGGGGAAGGGCTTTATTCCTATTGATTCTCTCCCTTCTCCTCCCCACCTTTCCACGCAGCAGTTGTGGGGGGCCAATGCTTGGTGCAAGTCCTACACCTTGAGTAAGATTTTAGTTTCTCTAGGAAGAGACAGCAGTTTAAGAATGCAAGTCTAGTAAGACTGTTGCAAGAAGATTTTATATTGGTATACAAGAAGCAAAGGCAGGAAGACACAAAGATGTTAAAGAGGGGAGGTAGGAAATAATGGCTATTTGGTGCACCCATGTTCATCTTGTGTTTGGTTGTACAGGAAGCGGTTGTCCATTTTGCCTGGAGGAGCATTTGTGAAGCACTGTTCTGAGGAATAATCCAGTCTCCCACTCCACCATAGCTGAATGGTAAAAAATATGTAAAGTTTTGGGGGGATTTTTTTTTTTTTTGGTTGGTTGGTTGTTTTGTTTTGTTCTTTTCTTTCGTATGGGGGTTAAAGGTACTTTTGCTGCAGCAGAGGGAAATCTGGTCCAGAGAAGCCTGCAGGCAACAGTAAGAGGTACAGATCTCATGAATGACCTGTAATCACTGCTTCCTTAGGATTGCTGCTGAGATCCCTGGGCCAGGGGTGCAGTGTCAGTTTCACAGGAGTCTTGCTTAGCAGGATGATGCTGGTGTGACCACTGTGAACAAGGCCAGTGTGGCTTTCTGTGTGTGCCTGCAATTAGATTGGTGGATCCCTACATTGCAGAGATCAGAATAACTGCTGCAGCCCTCCAGCGCAGGTGGGGTAAAAACATGGGTTTTGTATACATCCACAGCAGAACTCAGCACTCTTGATGAATCCAGAGATGAGTGAACACAGCCGCATGCCTTCTCTGACTTTTCTGTACATTTACACAGTCTTCTTCATTGTTCCTTCTTGCCCAGACTTACTATTTCATTTTCTTCAAGGTTGTCTCTCACTTCTTTAGGAAGGTAGACCTCAACTCAGGAAAGGCCTTGGGAAGGGGAGTAAGGTAATCCTTTCTTATATTCCTCAGCTTCTTGTATTTACAACACTGTGCAACAGTGCATGTTCACCCAGCTTTCTCAGGTTTCCCAGCTTTTGGGGGAAGTAGTGGAAATACTGTTCCTAAGCCATAGGTTCACTGCAGAGGGATTTATCTTTTGTTGTAAGAAAGGATGCATGCTAATTCTGTGAATATAGTGTCTCTCTGAATAACTTGTTCTGAGATGCAGAAAACAAATGAAAGAGTTGTTTTTTTGTTTTTTTTTTTTTTTAAAGAAAAGGTCTGCATAAGGTAGTAGGTCACGGGAGTTCCCTAGGCAACCCACTGGAGATCTCAGGACAGTGTTACATTGAAGGGAAAGGATAATCCTGGCAAATGCAGTGGTAGAACCAGGAACTGGAGCCTTTTCTTTTACTCACAGCTGGCTACTCTCCAGTAGCTATAGCCTCTCTTACTTCATAGGCAACCTCTGACATGGTAGACAGGAGGTGCTTGAGCAATCATCCCTCACCAAATCTGCCTAAAATGAGTTTACCTGAAGGATTTGGATGGAAGTGTTTGGCAGTTCATTGTTGGTCTGGTTGCTAGTCACTTTCTGGGAAAACTAGAGGAGCATTGGAGATAAAAGGGGCCATAACTGCTCACAGGAAGCAAGAACTGTGTACCAGAGCTCAATGTACATGACTACCTTTTGCAGTTGTCCTACATCAGATGATTGTGTCTGCTACTGCTGATTTAGAGAATCTGAAAACATATGTAACCTGAGGTTCAGCAAGCAGATATCCTTGGAAGATACATGCTCATTCTCACCTGCAAATCTTATTTCACCTCTCAAGTATGATTGTAGTGGTACAGCACAGGACACATTCTAATCTCATGTACACCCTTGCTATGCAGAGTAACTCCAATGATGCCAAATTTTGGGTCTAAAAGGTTTAAAAATATATTTTGTCCATCTGTGGCATGGAGTTTCATTGATGTTGAGCATGAGAAAGAGTTGCATCCAAACTGTGCATAATCAATCAGAATAACTGAACAATTGTGAACCAAAGCACTGCCACAATATTTCCTTCCCTCCCTTCCCCTTCCCCTTCCCCTTCCCCTTCCCCTTCCCCTTCCCCTTCCCCTTCCCCTTCCCCTTCCCCTTCCCCTTCCCCTTCCCCTTCCCTTCCCTTCCCTTCCCTTTCCTTCCCTTCCCTTCCCTTTCCCCTTTCCTCTTTCCCTTCCCTTCCCCTTCCCTTCTTCCCTTCCCCTTCCCCTTCCCTTCCCCCTTCCCTTTCCCCTTTCCTCTTTCCCTTCCCCTTCCCTTCCCTTTCCTTTCCCCTTTCACTTCCCTTCCCTTTACTTTCCCCTTCCCCTTTTCCCTTCCCCTTCCCTTCCCTTCCCTTCCCTTCCCTTCCCCTTCCCCTTCCCCTTCCCCTTCCCCTTCCCCTTCCCCTTCCCTTCCCCTTCCCTTTCCCTTTCCCCATCCCCTTCCCTCTCCCCTTTCCTCTTTCCCTTCCCCTTCCCTTTCCCCTTCCCTTCCCTTTCCCCTTTCCGTTCCCCTTTCCCTTCGTTTCCCTTTCCTTTCCCCTTCCCCTTCCCTTCCCATTCCCCTTCCCCTTCCTCTTCCCCTTCCTTTTCCTTTCCCTTCCTTTCCCCTTCCCTTCCTTTCCCCTTCCCTTCCTTCCACTTCCCTTCTCCTTCCCATTGCCCTCCCCTTTCCCTTCCCATTGCCCTCCCCTTTCCCTTCCCTTCCCTTCCCTTCCCTTCCCTTCCCTTCCCTTCCCTTCCCTTCCCTTCCCTTCCCTTCCCTTCCCTTCCCTTCCCTTCCCTTCCCTTCCCTTCCCTTCCCTTCCCTTCCCTTCCCTTCCCTTCCCTTCCCTTCCCTTCCCTTCCCTTCCCTTCCCTTCCCCTCCCTTCCCTTCCCTTCCCCTTCCTTTCCCCCTTCCGCTTCCCCTTCCCCCTTTCTTTTTCCCCTGTCTGCCACAATGTCTATAGTTATGTTTTGCCAGTTCTGATAGGGATGGTCTTTTCAATATTTACTTGTGAGTCCTCTGATCCACAGATGTAGAATACACAGGGACATCATCAGAGGTGCTAAGTCAGACAGTATCCTAGCCTCCCTCTTCCAATGTAAGGGAAATTTTCTCTTGATGCAGCATGCACAAAGATGCCTAATACCTATATTAGGCCTTGTTTTGGGTCCCTGTGTTTTAACTGTTCCTGCTTAGACTCAATTATACCTTATCAGAGTGGGCTAAGGTGGCCTAAGATACTGATATATTGCGCGTCTATTGATACCTTATACAATCTTCTGATATGGCCCCTTCAGTCTGAGCTGAGATTGAAGATCTACACAAGAGGTTTTTTGTGTGTAGAGATAGAAGCTGCAACACTGAGTTAAATTGAAGAAATGACTGGAAAAGAGCAAATGGGGAGTGAGAGGAATGGGATAAAGATGGAGGAAAATTTAAAAGCAAGATGAAAAGCAGGAATAAGAAGAGTCCACAGGGTCAGACAGAATCTGATAAACTTTGACAAAAACCTCAACATAATTGGAGGTATTTTCTAAACCTTCTAACCTTGCAACATTTTCCCATCAATAGTCCAGAGGTGAAGTGATTTATGAATATGCAAGCTTACACACTTCTCTGTGAACATCTTGATAAAGTAAATATATCACCCAGCAGGAGGCTACACTGCATACTAGTCTTCTTCCTCAGAGAGAAATTCGGTCTTGTGGGCCCCAGCTATCCCTTTCTGGCATACGCAGGGCATGCAGTTTAGTTCTTCATTAAAAAATGTCCCATTGAGATGTTTAAACACAGATCTCCCTGTAAGGGTGAATACATTGAATTGCCCTCCATGCAATTCTTCTCCATTTAATTGGTATAAAGCAGTTTCCCCTTGGCTACTTCCTCCCTTGAAATTACATAAGTAGCCTCACTGGAAAAGCATAGGTAAATATTTTACACTGTGCACCATGGATTAGGAGCATAGCTCCCATTAAACAGAGCTGGTATCATGTGTCTTATTTTCCTCTCACACTGTGCTAGAAACATACCCTACTGGACACAGAGACTAGGCTCCCAAGTGCCACCTTATGAAGAAGGTGTGGAACACTTTCATTTAATACCGCATGTGTTTCCATTATCAGTCAATTGCTCTCTGTCCTCGGTTTTAAGACTCCCTGTTTCTTTCTATTACAGCTCTGTTTCCAAATGCCTGCCAATCCTCCCTAGTCCTTCCATCTCAGCCTGCAAAGTTTTGATGATATAGCAGCGCAGCATCTTGGCTTTCATTTGGTTTAAACTTTGTAATTACAGATGTGCTGAACACTGAGCACTTCTATTTCTCATCAGTTTACTGCTGCTTAGGAAAACTTATGTGCCCAGTGTATTGTCAGTGTGGGGTGGCAAATTAGGGGTGCCAGTAGAGGAGACGCCTGAGTATCCTGAAACCTGCAAAGCACATGGGGGAAAAAAACATGTGGTTGCTACTTTGAGTCAAAGCACCACAGCAACTGTCCACACTGGCATGGCTCCTACAGAGTGGAAAATTTATGCATCTGAGTAAATAGTAAGCAGAAACCAGAATATGTTCATCACATATGTAAAAATACAGCTGTGGTTAATATACTGTATGCTGTGGTCTGTTCTGCTCTGGGAATTGGTGTCTCTGCTAATTGCATGGGTATGATGTATCACTTGCCAGATACTGGCTTTTTTAATTTACAAGTGTGTTGCTTGATGCCACCACACTTTGGTTTTGCCATACAGCTAACTCTTCCTGCCTAGGGAATGAAAACAGCCTGTTCCAAGTAGACTGTGCAGGCTGGGTTATGTTGTGGCAGCTAGTAACAAACTTGAATTCCCACTTATGGAAAAATCTGAAAGTTTTTAAAAGTTCTGATTCAAATCTTTAACTTCCAGAAAAGTAAAATTTCATTTTTTATGTAGCATTTTAAAAACAAAAAATATGCATAGCAGTGTTGTACTCCAAACATAAAATTCCAAAATTACTTAAATAAGCTAACTGATTTGCTTTAAATTTCAGCTTAGTTAGAAATAGTAGATTATTCATACTATTTGTATGAATATATGAAGTGAAACAAAATTTATCAAAATAACAGAAAACATCAGAAAATATTTTTACTTGACCAGCATAATGTATGCCAACTTATCAAACAGGAACAGTAAGTAAAAGTACTTTTGCCATTTTTTTTTCTCAAAATTTCAGTGAATTAAACCTGTTCTTTGATTTTTAATTTAACCACATTCCTTAAAATAAGTTTCTATTATTTTCAGCAGCTTGATCCAGAACACAGCTGCTATGAAATTCTATATATGACCCACCTTCGACATGAAAATCTTTGCTACTTCGTTGATGATCCTGTCTCTTGTTTTGAGTTCTGTGCTAATAAGTAATGAAAATGTTACAGCCTTACAGCTTGTTTTGTGGTTGCAATTATGTAATCATTATTAATGAAGCAACAATGTCAAAACTGTGTGAAACCAAACTCACATTTAAGCACTTACAATAAACAGATATAAAACAACAGATGTCTCAGTTTTTGTTCTCCAATGATTTCATCCCTTGTTAAAAATAAACGTCTGGTTTAAAAAAGAAAAGGGCTTTTCTCAACTCACACAAATTAATTGAATCCAGAGCCTGGTGATATAACTAAGGAGTTTTCTTCTTTCCAAAATTAGTTTGTGGGGATACTTTTATTCTGGAAGCATTAAATTCACTTCAAAGCAATTCAGAAATTCTAGGAAGTCAATAGTGTAATGGTCATCTGCCCCAGCTGAAGTGTTGGCCCCTGACAGCAATCAGAGATGTAGCCAAAAGTGCCTGGCTTGCCTCCAGACTTGAACACCCTGAAAAGATTTTAGGACAAGGGTGATTTCTGTCCACAGTTTTGGTTCAGATAACTGATACTGGTCATTTACAAATGTTGGTTCAGATTTGGGTCAGAATTTGTCAATAGGTGCAGGGAGGTCTCTAGATCTGGGGAGCCTCAGAAAGCCAGCATTCAGTTTTATGCAAACATCAAAAGTCCAGATGCCTATTTAAACTATCCACATCTGTTGAGTCTGCAAAACTGGGCTGGAAATTTAGCTGGAATAGGTTTTCCTGCAACATTTCATAGACTTCATAGTTGAACTTGTAGCCTGAAATACCAGAGCTTCTTTTAGTATTTGAGCACTTTTTATTCCGGTGCTAAGTAGGAATGTGTAGCTTACATTTAATGAATGGGTGGGATATGCAAAAATTTTAACACCTTGAAAACGTTCAGATCTAATGAACCAGCAATGTGAAAAACAAAATCCTTAATAAAAAATGGAAGCTTTATTAGCAATTTGTGAACATAAGCAAAAATGTATTAGAAGCTGGGTAGTTTTTTATTTCTCTGAAGGATAAAATTAAATCTATAGTTTAGTACAAGAAAATCTTTGTTGTTGTTTTTTTTTTTGTTGTTTTTTTTTTTTAAATAAAAGCAAAGAAGAAAACTCTCTATTTAAGATTTTTTATTCAGATTCTTAGTGAAAGTCGGTGTCCAAATTTAGGATTTGGATAATACATTTCTTTTCCCCAGTCCCTCTGGCACTGAAACAAGTGCAAAACAACTGTCTGTGCGCTTTATTGCAAATCTTGCACAATTTTAAACTTATAAAACAAGGCTCTTGCAAATTGCATTTTGAGAATATAGCATATTTATGCTTACAGCACTGTAAGCAATGACAAGATGTTTTGAACAATCTGTTTTCTCAAATTAGATTAACATCATAGAGCAGCACAATCTGCTCATTGACACCAAGGGGACAAAAAAAATTCAGTGTTTTGTGTCCTTCTTCAGGACATTGCTTTGGCAATGGACACTCACTCTCTATGTCATCATGAAGGATGTGGTGCACTTTTAGAGCTGCTATTCTTTAGAAGAGACACCAGGCCCCACACAGCTCTGCTCGTAATCAAGCAGTAAAAATATAGGTGGCAACTGAGCGCCCTTGTCAGCATTGTGCTCCCTGGTCATGCTGTGTTACATGCAATACACTTTTAAAGGTGATGGGTGAACAAAATTGCCTACTATGTTTGTCTGTGGTTCAGTAGCAGTACATGACACTTTTCTTTCAATCATTACCTTAAAAAAAAAATCACAGAAATCTTCACCAGTACAAAGCATTAACAAATAGCTAATGTAGTCTTAATCTGCATATTACCCTTGGACTTTTGCTGTAGAAACACACTTTCCAACCATAGCTGAAAGTAACAATAACCTTCCCCTTTTGTGCAGGCATGATTACAATCATACCAAGTTTGTGCATTGTGTAAGTATTCTCATATTCACACTTGTACTGTTAATCCTGGGAACTACCAAATAAATTTCCTTCTATATTTCTTTATTACATACTTTTCAATGCATTATTTCTATTACCTGACAGAGGCAAAACCAAACTCCAGGAAACTGAAACTGAGAGTGACCTATGGTTTTAACCTTCAATCAACATTAAAATAGGTGACTGCTTTGTTTTTCTGGGTTTTGCACATTATAGTTGTAGTTACAAAGAAATTCCTTGAAAGCGCGTGTTGTATCGAGTGGCTGCATGTAAACAGCTTTGGAACTAAGTAACTTTGATCTTTGACTTACAGACTGCAGGGCAAAGGTTAAAATCATGAGCTTTGTTGTCCTGTTGGCAGTAGTTCCTTCTGAAGCTTCCACTTCAAGTGAAGGTGGTATACAGCAATATACACAAATCTCAGTGTCTTTGATTGTGTTTGTAAAGGAAAAAATTATCAATCCTGTAACTTCTGGTATTTGATGAACATTTTATAGATAATGTTAGCAAGAATCTGTCTGTTCCTGCATATATATGAACACAGAAACGAAAATGAAGCTATTCTCAAAAGACATATTTGCATGCATAGGTAATGTGCAAACAGAGAAGCTAGCTGGCTATTTGAAGATTTACATAAGGAAATTTGGGTGTCATGAAGATTGCTACTTTCTTGTGCAAGATGGAAGTTTGCAAGATCCAAGCTAGAAAAAAATTAGTCTTAAGAAACTTTATTAAATACGTAGATATTGCCATTCTAATGGCTTGTAGACTTTTATAACAACTGTATTGAAAAAGGAAAAAAAAAAAAGGCTTTTCTAACTGTAATTGGAATCCAGTGCATGAAGGCTTTGAACTGCTGTGAACAAACTATACTTCTATTGGCTTTCATGTGTGTATATATATAAATATATATATATATTTATAAAAGAAGGAAAATTAAGAGTGCTGAAAGAATTTACTCAAATCTTGTAATACCAGGAATTTTGACTGCCTTGGCAAAGTAGAAACTTCACAGCTACTCAGACATTAACGTCGGGACATTTGCTTACCCCCAAGCAAAGCCATTAACAACATCTAGTCCTTAAGCTGGTGTCTGAGGCAGACTTTGCAGGCCAAGACACACAGCAACAGCTGGTGGAGTGAGGTTCTGTGCTATTAATCAGCAGAATTCTCGTTTATATGTAGCTAAAGAATTACAGCTGTTTCATACAATGGGCAATAAATGAGCAAGACAAAACAAATGAGCAAATCAGTCCTGTCCTGCTCCATCCCACCCCCTGGTCCTAATTATCCTGTCTCTTGCAGCATGTCAGTTCCATTAACTTCATCTGGGTTTTCTTTTGTGTTGATGTGCATGTCTTGGGACAGTTTCATCCCAGAGCAAATACACTGGTGACATAATAGCAGCCGAACAAATAGTGTGTAATTTTCTGAGAAGTTGTAAGTAGTCAAAGCCTCATAACATTCTTTAATTTGCTCTATCTTCTCTTTCAATATGACTTCCTCTCACTCATGTAGACTGTTCCACACCTATCTTTCCCTGCAGCACAGAATATTACAAACACTAACAGCCAAAATATGGCATGAAACGTACTCCTTTACAGACATTTTCGAGAAAGCTTTGGCCACTACTTATTTCACTGCTAAATATGACCTAGAGGCATCCACAGCAAATACAGCCATATTCACTGGTTCTGGCTTTACTGTGTATTTTCCAACATGTATTTTCTCATTGTGGCTTGGTGTTTCTCACAGGAAGCCCAGGTAGTAGAAAGCCCTTGCTTACACAAAGCTCAAATGGAAAAAATCCAAGCTGCCTTCTAAACACTTTAAAATAACACTTTCTAATGCTTCCTATGGGTGATGTTGACACATTTACAATGTTGATTTAAAGCTTAGGGGGAACATAGTTCTTCCTGACACCACAAATGTAAAGTTACTGGTGCACCCTATCTCTGGAGCCATGCTGAAATGGCTGCCAGCACCTATCAAGTGCCAGGAGCTTTTAACTCAGAAAACAGGCAGATGGTGGCCTCCATGGCTGTGAAGAAAAGCTTTCAAGGCTCCCCCACTTTTTGCCCTTCTGGACTGGAGTCACAGTTAATACCAAGCACTGATACTGCAGCTCCTGAGGTATTTGGCCTGAGAATTCCTTTCCATGAACCATTTAAACTTAGGTTGCTGTATCAAAGTTCAAGCCAAAGATTTCCTTTATTTCTTTACCCCATCCTTTATTCATAGTTATTTGCTGGAACTAATCTGACTGTAAAGGTTTGTCAGTCTTCAGATGTTCTAATTTCTCAATCACCTAGTCTGACATGATCCTAATTTCTTCAATATTTCATCTTCCACCCTTGGGAAATTTATGTCTGTTCCTGGCATTTGTCTCCCATGTTCCGCTGTGAACACAGAGGGAAAAAATACATTTAATTTCTTTCTCTCTCTCTTTCAGTTTTTTTTTTTTTTTCTGCATGAAGTCTTCTTCTGTCAATAAATTACTCCTGCCAGATCCTGGAGGCCAATTGTCTCTTCCTTTGAACCCTATGTTTCCTACAGCCTAAAAGTCACTCTTATTAATCTTTATCTAGGTAGCAAGCTATTTTCCATTCCTCAGCTTTCTTTCTCTTATTTTTGTTTCTTGCTTGTATTCAGTCCTTTCCAAAGTCCACTCTCAATTTGATCTTTTAAATTTTTCACATGTCCTTTCTTTACCTTTGATTAGTTTTTCATTTCCTTGTTCTTTATTAGGTGTAGGCAACTCAGTACTGTAGGTGGCATTTTTCTCTTCCCTTCCCTCATCCCTAGCCTGTGCTGAACCACAGCCCAGAATGATGTCAGGAGAGCATTTAGACACCTTTCCAGTTTGTGATACTGACCATTCTTCATTAAAGGTCTTACAATGAATTTTGCAAAAACGAGTGAATTAACCCCTGCATCCTCCACCAGTTCCAAATGGAGTGATTACTTTCTGTCTGTCTGGACTCCCCTTGCAGTTTTGATGGGATAGATTAATCTCTACTTGACATGTAGCATAGCATTGCTATCAGCATGTACCACTTTCCTCACCAAAAGTGACTGGATGGAGGCTAATTTTCTGCTACAGAAGGCTCATTTCTAATTTCACATTGAAAACATTTTTGGAAGGAATGTACTGATTGTATCTATTGTTTCATGTTTCCTTCTTGTGATTTATAGCCAGGATTCTTGCACAGCCGGT